CAATTTGAAGTTAAAAAAAGTTATTTTCACGGGAAAAAAGTTACATGAAGGTCCAATTTTTGCACGATTTTTTCAATTTTTTAATACTTGTTTTTGCAAACAAATTCACTTTATCAGCTCAACCGATTTTAATGACTTGTGTGTCACGCAATACGCAGATGTGCCTGTTTTGGGGTCGGCGTGAGTTGAGTCAATATTCCTCTCCATATGTTCTTCATTTTAAACTCCCTGCAAATTTTCGGCATTCACAATCCACCAAATGAATCAGAGTCCCTCAAAAAATTTTCTTATGGTGATTCGGGTTTTTCAAACTATGGCAGTTTCAGTGACTGAATTTGAGTAAAGGTTTGACTCTAGTTGATTTGCTCTTTTATCAATTTAATAAACCATTACACTTAGTCGTTCGGACTAATATAAAAATTATAATACATTCGGGATCTTATCGATTTTTTTTTCAATTAAATTTAAAACCAAACGCATCTTATAACAATCTAGTATTACTTTAGTTAATTATCAATTTTTATTTCAGTTTGACTCGACTAAAAAGACGGCATTATTCCGACCGTGACAGAATACACATCGGTTCTGGAGATAAAAGCGGTTTTCGGACTCCATCCCCTTTGAAAACCTGGGGGTTACATCCCGTCAATTAATCTTAGCGCCTGTTGGTCCTTTAATCCCCTGTTATCTCGGATTTGGGGCTTAGGTCAGTCCTGGATTACGGGAGGACTTTACGGGCTAATTATCACAACGAAGTCATCATCACCATTTATCACAAATTGCATATTCAAAATGGGCAAATTACACGGCCGATAATTCTACATCCGATAATTAACTAAGTAAACATTCCTTTCTTAATTCCTTGGATTTCATAAAAAATTTGTCCAAAAAGGACAAAAAAAGGTTCAGGACCACCGCTGAACTTTTCCGGAAAGAAAAGTATACTAGTAAATTTTTAAAAATAAACAACATTATACTAAATATTGATATTCTTTTTATCTAAGGTCTTGGTGGTGATGACAAATGTACTGTCACGGGCGGGATTCGAACCCACGGCCTTTGGCTCAATACGGCGCTGCTCTATCTGCCAAGCTATCGTGACTTCGATCCTCTCGGACACTAACTCCTCATCACTGCAAAATGGCAAAAAAAGATAAAATTCGAAAGATTGTAGGTTGAGAAGAGGAGTCAATCAATCCGATTGGATCGAGGTCACGATAGCTCTGTGGTTAGAGCAGCAGCGTATTCTGCCAAAGGTCGTGGGTTCGAATCCCGCTCATGAGACTAGGTTTATCATCTCAACCAAGACCTTAGATACAAGAATAATTAATAGAAATAATTAATATGGTCAATTATGACCGCTAAACATTTATGGATTAATATTTACCAAATGTTTGTTGTGTCTGTTTAGATGTTTATTCTTTCAGTTCCATGTGTTGGTTTTGTATTATTATTGATAGCTACTATGAAATATGACTGAAATTGTCGTCATCGAGCTACATTAAGCAAAATATGTTTGAATGAATAGTCACATGGAATTCTGTTTAGTGTAGAAGGCCGAAGAGGAAATGAAATTTTCAGTCAGTCGTCTGAGTGGGCAAGACGCTCTTCCACCAGATTACTTTCACAACCCCCGCCCCAATTCTTTTTTCTTTTTTTTATAGCTTACCCTCTGGCTCACTCTCCCCTTTACGAGCTAGACAAAATGCAACACTTTCGCCCCCGCTCGGCCTCCTTTACGACGGCCCTAGATTACCCTCTTTAAAATATTGCTTGTGAAACAGGCAGTTAGATTTTATTGCCTATCTGCCACTTGCCCTCAATACAAGAATGTCCCTTTTTCTCCTAAATCCCGGACGATTACCCGTTGGCGTTTAGTTGTACAACAATGAGCCATTCCGCGGCCGCCGGATTCAATCTGTTTATCACCCCTTTTCAGTCGCCCCTGCCTCCTTTTAAAATTAAATCTCGACACTGGAATTGTAACGATGCGTCGAAAGGGGGACGGACATCGGATTTCTACTGACACATTTACGAATAACAGCGAATCGGAACTGAAACTTTAATAACAAAACCCTGGTGACTACCGGATTGTGTGAATGTATTAATTTGCGTGAGCGGACAAGGTCTTTCATGCAATATGGAGTATCTTTACAAAGACCCACCAAAGGAACTCTTCGTCATTTAGTCTGACTAACCAATTGGTAAATGTATTTATTTGCGTGATTGGTTAAATTATGTGCATGGATATGGTCTGAGGCGGAATATAGATTATTCTCTCTCTCTCTCTCTCTCTCGCTCTCTCTCTCTCTCTCACACACACACACACACACACACACACACACACACACACACCAAAGTATTCTGAGCTACTTAGTTTTATATATTTGAAATGTAATAAGTGGGTAGTCACTGGCGTATTATTAAAGCACAAATTGTGTGAATGTATTTATTTGCGTGAGTGGTTAAGTGGGACCAGGGTCTACAGTGGAATACCGAATACACAAAGACACGTTAAAGTAGTCTAGGTTATTTAATATAGCAGAGTAGAATAGTGTATCTATATTTGCCTTATAATAGGGAGGTAGACATTGACGTAATATAAAAACCCTGGTCCCGATTGAGTGAATGTATTTATTTCCGTGAATGTAAGTGTGGATACAGTCTGGGATGATATATAGAGTACTCACAGACACGCCAAATAGTCTAGGCTATTTAGTTTTCTATATTTGCCATATAATAGGGAGGCAATCATGGACAGAATATCAAAAACTCTGGTCCCGATTGAATGAATGTATTTATTTGCGTGAGTGGTTAAATGTGTATGGACTTTACTTTTGTGGTGGAATGTAGAGTACTCACACGCACACCAAATTAGAGTAAGTTATTTAGTTGTATATATTTGCAGTTTAATATGGGGGGGGGTAGTCATGGCGTCATATTAAAACCCGAATTTATTGATAGTTAAATGTATGTATATGGGCACAGTCTGGGGTAGAATATCGAATATTCACAGACACCGACAAATAGTCTAGGTTATTTAGTTTTGTATATTTGCAGTGTATAGGAGGGTTAGTCACTGGCGTAATATCAAATCCCTGTCCCGATTGAGTGAGTGTATTTATTTGCGCGAGTGGGTAAGTGCGTATGAACATGGTCGTGGTGAAATATCAAGGTCTCAGACACACCAAAGTAGTCTCAGAACTCTATGTTATTTAGTTTTATATATTTTCAGTCTAATATGTGGGTATCACTTACTGGTACTGACTACCCAATTTTGTGAATGTATTTATTTGCGTGAGTAGTTAAATGTGGACACCGTCTGTAATGTATGAGAGACAATTAGTTTTAGTTTAATTTAAAGTTGTAGAAAAACTGTATAGACTGAGAGGGAAGAAATGTGAGACAGACGGATCCCATTTCGCGCGGCGGACGTTGAGTCAGTCATGTTCTAACGCTGGGAAGAAGATGATCGCGGCCGTCTTGCTGATACTGGGTGAGTGTCTTGTGTTTTGTCCCTCTCAGTCTGAGTAGTTTATGCAATCCTGTATTCGTAGAATAGTTTTGGGGAACTGTAACACCTGTGCATAGGAACCATGCCATTACTGTAAGTTTATCGGTAATCTTAGAACCTGCACTTGATAGGAAGCCATACCCTTATAATCGACAAGGAACAAATTCATTTATGTAATTTCTTTAAAGATAATAAAATGTTAGTATAATAAGTAGTAGTTAATTGTTTTCCAAGGGCCAACCTAACACCGTCAATGGTGAAATATAGAGAACCCAAAGACATGCCAAAGTAGTCTCGGTTATATAGTTTTATATATTTGCAGTTTAATAGGGGGTAACCTCTGGCGTAATATTAAAACCTTGGTCGGGGGATTCGAACTCGGTTCCTTTACCTTACAGCGATGAGCGCCGTGTCAACGCCTAAACCGTTGCGGCCACCAACGTCCCTTCAACCGTAGGCTTCGGTTGTATAAAATTGTAGCGTAGTTGTCGAGGGGCTGGGTTTCAGCATACAGAGAACTCTTGAGTCCCATCAAAATTGGAGTGTCGTTTTAATATTACGGATGATTACTTCATTTGACCTCTCATTTCTATACTATTCAAATTTTTGTTTTCTTGTGGAGTATATAACACATATACTATATATAGACTTCACGCTAATTTGTTTGCAAATCAGTTAAATAAGAAATGAAATCTGTAATTTGCGCTACAATTTTTTTCCGCTCTCTGAAGTTTCGTACTCTGAAAGACCACTGTATTTTTTTTACAAATAAACAATTAATTGTTTAAACCGCTACTAATAGGTGCCGGACATTTTGAGTTTTGAGTCATCCTACTCCTATTTCCATCAAATACTTATCAAGTACAGAACACCCAGTTAAAAGAGATCTTAGACAGTTTCTACTAATCTTAACAAATTATCGGATGCTCAGTACGCCATTCGTAGAATTGCCATCCTCCCAACCCAACATTCGACGTGACAAAGGCGATTGAAGAAGAAAACTGTCGGGGTTTACTTTTAAAAAAAATTGCATGTACACCGGAGATAAAGTAAAAAGAAACGGTGGGTCGCGTTTAGCCGTCATCCGCCGGTATCAACGGGATTGAAGGATTTGTTAGACGAGGGATGGAAACGCCGACTGCTCCACAAGATAGTCGTCGCTATTCCGAATTCTGACTTTGACAAGTACTCTTAAATCGTGTACGATTTAAAAAACTCTGATTGACTGTCAACACCCGATCACGAAGACTTACGACACTCACGATGATGGCCTGTCGAAGTTGTAGGTTGTTACTCGAACGAACGTATCAATGGAATGAATTGAACCACGTCTCAGCAGAAGGTTTTAACCATTAAGAGGTTTCTTTGTCTAAAGACAATTTTTGTTTGTGATGTTATCGATATATTCGCACTGACTAATATCCTGCTGGGCTAGAAAAGATCTACATAAAGTATTATTAGAGAGGTAGAGTGTTATTACCTGCGGTATTGAGAAAAGCAGCCAACGCGAAGCTCCTGAGCAGCAGGTTCGAGTTTTGTAACAGGCCATCTGGGGGACAATGTTTAACAATCGCATTAGCCAAATTTCAGTCTTGTTACAGCCCTTTGCACAGGGTTTGGTTATGTGTGTTTGTGCCATAATCGCATGCAACGTGTGGATTGGAATTGAAACCGGCGGAAAAGGCTGAGGGCTATCGGCCGACACGTAATCATTTCGCGATAGTTGGACGAGGTCTGATGACACGCCGTAATTACAGGGTTGTGCGTGTGAATTTGACAAGTAAGACCACGTTGTCCACCCCACGCACGAGTGAAAACAAATTTTGACAACTCCATGCGGAAAACGGCTCGTTTCCATTGAAATTGCGGTCCGAAACACATTAAACCAGTGGCTTCCAAACTTATTAATTAAAATTCATGTTTGCTCTAAGCGATTGAATTAATTTGGGCCAGTGAAGTTGGAAAACGCTCTTTCTGATTTGGTTGTCTTTATTAAAAAAATCGTTGAGCATTAGGCGAGGCAGGTTAGTTGGCGGGGTTAGGGTTATAAGCGCGGCGAGGCAGAATGATTAATAAATTATTTTGTCTTAAGGTTATTTTTCTAATTATTGCCTTTATTTGACGGATGAGGCTGTTTAGTTCTATTAATAATAAATTAACTAACTCGCCCTCCCGACCAACGTTTAAATTAACCTTTTTAACTACAAAGCAACAAGTTTTAATTTGAAACTAACCCTTTTCAACATCAGATGAATTTTTTGATTGCAAATTAACTTTTTTAAATTTCAAATTAACCCCTTTTAAATTTAAATTTTAACTTAAAACTAACCCTTTTCAACATCAAACAATGCTTTTTTTAATTAACCTTTGTTAACTGCAAATCAACCTTTTTTAACTTCAAATTAACCCTTTTTAATTTAACACTAAATTTTTTTATCTTCAAATTAATCTTTTTTAATTTCAAATTAACCCTTTTTAATTTCAAGTTAATCTTTTTGTTTCTTCAAATGAACGCATTTGAATTTCAATGTTTTTTTTTAAATATTCTTTCTTTAAACCTTTAAAACATAAGAGATGCTATGAAATGTTAGCATGTAAAGTAAAATTCCTGTTTATTTGCATAATATTTTAATAATAAAATAATTCGGCTGTGAAGACCATATGAAAATTAATTACAATAAAAGTTATGTACAGTTAAATATAAAAATGAAGGATTCTTCTTTTCAATTTGCAAATTTTTTTACAAATATAAAATAATTGGGCTATGAAGACCATGTGAAAATTAATTACAAATATAATAAAAAGTTATGTACTGTTAAATGTAAAAATGAAGGATTCTTCTTTTAATTTGCAAAAAATTTTTGAATATACAATAATTGGGCTATGAAGACCATGTGAAAATTACAAATACAATAAAAAGTTCTGTACTGTTAAATATAAAAACGAAGTATTCTTCTTTTAATTTGCGAATTTTTTAAAGTAAAATAATTGGGCTCTTTTTAAAAAGGGCTTGTTATAAAAGTTATTGTGAAATTAAAAAAGGTCAATTTGAAATTTAAAAGGATTAATTTGGAGTTAAAAACTGTTAATTTGAAATTTGAAAAGCTAATTTGATGGGAAAAGGGTTAGTTTGTCGGGGAAAAACTAATTACGCCATTGACTACCCCACCGTTTCACTGCAAAAATATACATTAAACTAAATAACCTAAACTACTTTGGTGTGTCTATAAGTATTCGACATTCCACTACAGACCGTGTCCACACTCAGCCACTCACGCAAATAAATACATTTACACAAACGGGTCGTCACCGGGGTTTTTGATATTACGCCAGTGATTACCCTCCTATTACACTGCAAATATAGATAAAATTAAATAACCTAGGTACATCGGTGGGCTCGTGAGAATTTGCTATTCTATCACAAATACTTTCAAACATTTCTTTTTACGCTAATAAATACATATGCTCAAAGGAAGAATATAATTTCAACCAGCTCGCTATTTGGGACGATATACGTTTAACTACTTCGCATATCTGTTTAATTTATAATCACTACTGTGCTTTAAAAGTTTTTAAAATCTGCGGGAAGGTCACACCTTATTCTCTGCTCTATTTTTACCTGAGCTGAAACCCTGAGCTGCATACTCGGAGTATTTGATGAGCGCAGTTTGAGATGTTTTTGGAAAGATAGGAGGCTGTCAGGCGTACTCTTAGGTTTGTGATGGTTTCCTTCCCAATCTTCCTCCCTTTTCCTTTTCTATTATTATTTTGGATTTCTTGATATTTACTGTCAAACTACCAGGCATATCAGTAAGATGTCTGCATATAACAAATATTTAAATTTCCTATATGCCGTCGCTTATTTCTCTAAAAGATCCCCGACTCCGAAAATCTCACAAACACACCACTGAGGATGGCGAAAAGGCGTCTGACAGCCAAGCCAGCGAGGATGGACAAAAGGAAATGTTCAGTAACGAAGAAACAAACAGGGAGCGCGAAACATCCCACGTTTAATTAGAATTTAATTTTTGTACGGTTTACTGTTTTAATCCATCGGGTGAAATGTAAATCCGGTGTCGTGCAGCATATGTTAAGATTAATTGATTGGGGGAGTCAATCATTACTCATATGGCGTTGCAAAATCACATGCTGCTTGTCGAACTGAGATTGACGTGTTATAAATCACGAGGTATTTCACGTTTTGATTTTATTGGGGTTGGTGAATCCACAGTTTTGTTACCTACTCGAAAAGAACTCAACCGGGAAGAAATAGGACTGAAAATACTAATTGCATGGTGAAATATTCTCGACAGTGCAAACAAAAAGTTCAAATGTTATAAACTCTTGATAATAAATGAAATACCTTAAGGGCAGACAGATTGACTTGATGAAAGTCATGAGTTTTTTTGGGAGTGATTTGTGAGTGAATTATTTAAACATAATTAATATAAATTATTGAGGGGAAAAAAGAAATAACTCAAATCCTATGTGGACAAAGGACCCAGAATCAAACGGAGATCTCTTCTAAATAGAGGATTCTTTATCGTTTTACTGTAATATAATTTATGATAAACAGTACCGCCGAGTAAATCAGCAGAACATCCCATCTTTGTTCAACTAATCTTACTGCTCAAGAATATTGGATGATAAAAAAGCAGACATTTTATGGTCATTAGAAAGGCACTATACTAATTCAGAGGTGATCTAAAATGTCCATCAATAGAACAAAATAAACCTAACTGGTCTAAGACGCCTACGTGTACTTTTCTTAATAATATGAGTCCGAGCAGATGAGTGTTTTCAACGTCAAATTATCTATTTTAAACTACAAATTAACACTTTTTTAAATATTTTCCTAGCATTAAAAACTTAGGAGATGGTATGAATATATAAGCATGTAAATTAAAATTTCTCAATATATGGGAGTTGTTTTATAATTGTAATATAATTGGGCTCTTAAAAACTATATGAAAATTAATTTCAATTAAAATTTAAAATTAAACAAACTAAAATATAAAAATTCAAGGATACTTCTTTTAATTGAAGATTTTTTTTATTAATTGCTAAATTATTTTTCTTTAATTATCGGCACAGAAGCCATTAAAATCAATTGGACCGTTAAATCGGCGCACTTTTGGCAAAACAGACATTACAACTTTTTTTTAATTGTTGTTTTCGGACCTTCATATAACTTTTTTATGTCAGATTAATACTTTAGAACTTTAAAAAAAAGTTTCTTTAATGCAATAAACATTTTATGCTTCCCGGGCATGAGGGTAAACTGCATCCTCACGTATTACACACTCCCCCCCCTACCTAGACTTACACTGACTTAAGCCACTAACAGTATACACCCTAGGAAGGTTCTTGAGACGAACTAAAAATCTCTCGTCCTGGGATTGGCGACCCAGTACGTACATAACTTCGCCACCACTATGTGGAGTAAGGGCGGGGGACTTGGACGGTGTCTGGGCCTCCGTCAACATGCCACCACTAACACACAGGCCGATGCACGCTGTCAAGGGCCTCGGAACCCGAATATAACAAACGTAAATAACCGTGCACAAAACACTACAAATACAACATACAATTCTCATATGGAGGGGGGGATCTCCCGGTCTCTTTGGGTGTCCGTGAAACCTTCTCTTTTGAGGAAAACTGGGTTACGGCACTCCTGGGCCGCGAGGTAGTACAGGTACCCGAACCCCGGACTAGCCACCGGGGAGGCAGTCCTATCACCTCGTATATAATGTTGTGGTGCCTAGTACCGCCAGCTGGCTGGCGACTGGATGGTTACAGTGCTGGGCACAGCAACAGGGTGCGGGCAGATCGGAGAAGAACCCGAATGGGCCGGGGGATCACCTCCTAAGGCTGAGGATTGCAATCTTACAGACAAAACTCAAAACTAATGACGATGAAAATGGTGAAACAATGGAACAAGGAGTAAAAGTAGTAAAAGGCCTTTGCCAATCCCCCTGAAGGATTTGCCTCATCAGAATCCGGAAGGTCCCTCTGCCACCAAGACCCATATCCCTCTACCCCTTGCACTCTCTTCAACCACCCCACCACTACCATCCACTCCATGAAGGAGGATGCCGGCTTCGTTCCCGTAGCTGGGAAAAGGAAGAGTCCCCAACAACTCAGCGAAAGGGACGACAGAAAAGAGAGCAGAGAAACATGTGCCTGGGACTCCTGAGTCACCAGCACAGAAAAAGAGAAAAGAAGGTAACATAGACAAAAAGGAAGACAAAAAGAAATCGCGGAGTGGTGCTTTGTCGCTGGGTCTCGGCATCATGGGGATTACACCTCTCTATGAGACGTACCAAACGAGGTACTACAACGTAGAAAAGAAAGAGGGAGACTTCAAGTCCACTTGCCCTTTCCTTCTACACAAGGAAATAAAAAAGAACGTAGGAGTTACAAACTCCATCACAAAGAGTAGAGAGGACAAGATCTGCATTGGTATAACAGGTGAACAAATCGAAGAAAGATTATTGTCATTAAAGACGCTTGATGGCCATGAGGTCGAGGTTGCCCCTCACCAAAGAT